CGCTCGCCTCCGCCGCGGCCCCGCTGCTGAAGCGACGGGCGAGAGGGGAGGGGGCCGCCAACCGCCTGCACTTCTGGACCTGCTGCTGCAGTGCAAAAGCGCATCCGCCTGAGAGGGTTAAATCAGCGCAGGGCTCCGAAAAAAATGGGCCTCCAGCCAGGGCTGGTGCCTTTGCTGGTGCCGTCTCTGTGTTGCTGCAGTACGTCTGACGACCTTCTTGGAGATCTGCTCCTCTGCTCCCTCGGAGATTCATGCCTGCTGCAGCACCATCCTTCTGCTCAGCCCCTGTGGGCCCCCTCGCCACATTTCCACCTTCCTCTCCCACAGCTTCTCACACTTGCTGCAGCAGCTGTGCCCCGACAGCAGCTCGACTGGGTAAATTCTGCAAGTCACACCCATGAGTTATGAGTTTTAAGGTGGGCTTTAGTTTCTCATCCAGCGCAACAAACAGGCTCAAGGTGATCAAGGGCAGTTGGAGAGAAGATGGAGTGGTGCAGTATTATCTGTTTTTCAGTTACTGCTTCTTTCTCTTCTACCCTCATAGTGAACAACCAGCAAAAAACAGGGCTAAGAAACTGAACAAACTCAGCTGGTGGGGGTGGGGGGTGGCTGTGCACTGAGGCTGCTCTAAGTTTTACCATGCTGCCACAAATCCTGGCGAGAACAATAAACTTAAACATTCATTCATACAGCATCTGAATCACCAACCTGACATGTTTAATGAGACAAATCAAAGGACGCAGTCCTCCAGGGGTGCTACTGTGTTTGTACCTATTACCTAGTGCAGAAATTGCTTCTCCACTAGGATTGTTATTTTCCTGTTGTTCTGTCCTTGCATGCCCCATGAAATCTTTTGGAATGACTAGTGAATCCTTTCTGGACTGGGCTGGTCTGTCAAGGGAGGTAGGGACCCCAAAGTTCAGCTAAAGCCTCTCTCATTGTCTTTAGCGGGGCTGGACACTCATCACCATGTGGGTTACTTCTGAGAACACCATCTTAGACCATAAACCCCAAAGATTTTTATTATAATGTATCTGGTGCACAAACCCCAGAGAAAAATTGCCCCAATTCTCTGGCTCAACACTGCTAAGAATGACTGCCAGTCTATCAGCTTTTATGAATGGCCCCTATTATCAGAGAGGGACATCAGAGAGGGCAACATTAAGAGCAGGATTACCCTATTTATTTTTTGGCTGATGGGTTGATTTACTTCTCAGCTCATTTTTGGTGGTCCAAGTAATTGCCCTTATTTTTATTCACATGCATCCAGTATCCCAGGGTCTGCAAATATGGCTGTAGAACCACCCAACCCTGCTTATCTTCTTAAGTGGGACAAATGTAGCTCTATGAGAGCAAGAAGGGCATATAGAGCTGCCAAGCTCCTAGCACACCTGGAATCTGCCTATTTCATCCAGTTGCTTAAATGGGAGTTAAACACAAGGGAAGGGAAGGGAAGGGAAGGGAAGGGAAGGGAAGGGAAGGGAAGGGAAGGACAAAAAAAAAAGGCAGCCTTGGATCTTTGGCTAAGCAACCACCTTCAAGATCACAATATTCACAAATTCAGAACAAAATACCCCGAGTTCCTCATGCAAAAGTGTGCTAAAGGTCCAAATTCATGTTTGTTTCCATTCTGGAGTTTTGAAATGGATAGCTATGGCAATACTAATATACATAGATTAGATAGCTATGTGTCAAAAATAACTTGCAATCATCATATAAAACACAAATCTGAAGGGATACACCCTCAGTTTTCCAGACAACTAAATAATGTTTTTGTTCAAACAGCCCACAGAGCATTTCTGCCCCACACCTCCAAAAAGTGTGTGTCCACAAAGTCCTGTAACAAATGTACTGCTCACAAATAAAAGACTAAAAGTCACAAAACCACTGTAACAAAACAGGTGCAGGGATGTCTAAAGGGCATTGGCAACATCTCAGGCCCTGCCTTAAGGAACATGCTTAGCAGAGGTTCTTCTGGAAATGGACAATGCCCATGCTAACAGGCGGGGGCGGGGGGGGAAACGCATCTCTGGAGGCAATGCCCTTCTCTCCACTGCGATTTTACTCACAGTGTGTGAACAAAACAAACCAATCAGACATCTAGGGGATTTTAAGATCATCGAGGAATCTTCCCTTTTACTTTGTTCCTAGCACCCAATGATTTACTCCTTTGATACACACTCAGGCTCCACTCTAATACATACCAGCCAGCTTCCTCAGCAAGGGAAGGCTGACAAATGCTGAAAACCTGTTTACATGCTGCCTTGGTTCATCTCACTTCACATCCCAAATCTCTCTGTGGACAAATAGGACTATGCGCATCCAAAGTTTAGCAGAACATCATGGAATGTAAAATTGAATGGAAATAACACACACTTAACTGAGCCATTCTAGTATATATGTCATAATATTTTCATCCCCATCAAACAACATTTGTCAAAATCCTACAACCTTTGACTTTTCTTCTCCCAATTTCAAAATTGTATAATTTGGCTTCTTGGCCTCTTCTGGAAGTTTTATAATACCAGTAAAATAAGTACTTTGATTTCCATTTTACAAATTAATCTCATAACTTGACCGGTTACAGTAGCACTGTACAAATGTAACAGTTTTTCTGAAAATATTAGCTTTATGTAATTTATGCTGACTACACACATTTTATAAGTGAGATACTGAAACTTGTTCTATTCTGATTAAATGTTCCCTGAGTTAGTTTAAATCTATATAAAATTCAAGGACAGGCACAATAACTTTACTTATCTCCACTAGTTTCGGCAGTAATGCTGAAGTCAGTCCTGCAGACCTTAGTTTTTAATTCAGGAAAAACTTCCATTGAGAAAATATTTCAGGATCTGGTCTGTAGTAATATTGATTTTTCTAGTGTAAGGCAAAGACTGAATCATAGGAAAATATAATCTCAGTTTCCACTGCATTGGGATTTTGGGATTTTGGTTTGTTTTTTTCTTTTTGAGAGGGAGGAGGAGTTCCCTTTCCTAGAGTTTCTTTATCCAGTAATTTCTTGAAAGTTGACCTAAGCACCAAATTTCGAAACACTTTAAAAACTTGTTAAATAAAAATGTATCCTGTGTCTGCAGATCAATCCACACGACTAAGAGGATCAGAATCTGTCCCTGCAGCAAAAAACGGCTGAAAAAACACACTAGGACCAAATATCCATTTGCTGATAAGCCTGCTAACCCCTGAAGTGACTGGATACTGCCTGGGCTTTACTGACATACAAAAATTATATGACTTTAATTAGCTTGGTTACGGTGAATCATACAAGACCTTTAATGTGAATACAAACATATGAGTGTAGCAAAGAATACACTGATGTTATCAATTACTACAGAGGAAAAATAAGTTGTATCAGGGTAAGGTACTAATACGCTGGTATGGATCTATGCTAGAGCCTATAGCAATATAACTGTTTCAGGACAGAAAGCCCTCACATTCCTAACTGAAACAGTTATTCATATAGATATTAGAAGCAGTGTAATGCAATGAAAATCTAAACAATATTTCTCTGTAGATATGTCTCTCAGGAGTGATCTAATTATACAGAGATCACAAAATCACAGAATCATTTAGGTTAGATGGGACCTCTGGAGATCATCTAGTCCAACCTCCCTGTTCAAGCAGGGTCACCTAGAGCATATTGCCCAGGATCACATCCAGACGGGTTTTGAATATCTCCAGGGAAGGAGACTCCACTACCTCTCTGAGATACAGCTCTGAAGGTATGTAGGGGTTTGAAAATTCATCCTTTTCAAATCCCACTTGTATCAGGAATGCTTTTATTTAATATTGTTACTAGTATCACCTACATTTGCTTGAACTGAAATAAAACTGTGTTCAATTTACTTCACTGCAGACCACCGTATAGAGTCCATCCTCTGGTTATTTACATGAGCCTCACAGCAAAAGGAGAAATAAATTTTGGAAAATAGGAAGAGGTGACCGTACAATGTTAACTGAAAAACTCCAGGGAAATGCAACATATGAAAAGACTTTCCACTTCTTTCTAAATAATTTCACTTTCAGTAAATTACATCCCTTAAATATGACAGCCAATGACTCAACGTCATGATGCAGCTCCATTCTAAACTGATGAGAAGTCAACAATTCCAAGATCAGGCTCTAGATTTTTGCACATAGCTTTGTCAGCTTGTAGTCTTTTTAGCAACAAAGAGACTACTTCGGAACTACATAAATGCTCTTGGCAGACAAAAAATCTGCTCACAAATAAAAGTATGCAAAAATTATTGAGACAAGTCTAGAGAATTCACATAGCTTAGCCATTAACAAGCAAGCAAGCTGTGTCATTCTCTAGAAAAATACAGATTTTCTCTGTGCATATGTACGTATGTGTGTGCACGCATGCACACATGTGGGCTTACACTTTGTCTGCCTTACTTAGAATTAAATCAAGTCAAGAGGGAAGGAGCCACCATCAGTCACAGGCTATATTACATCAGCTACAGTGGACAAAAATATTCAAAACTGTAAAGGAATGACTCAAATTTGTGGACTTTCCTACTGACTTGCCCAGTCAGGTCGTGCACTGCAGCACAATCTTCTAGCCCACTGGTACTCTTAAGATCTGTGGAAAAAACACCTTAATAATTTGAAAGGACACTCGCATTAGTTCTTCAGTCCAGCCCCAACTCTCACATGGCTTCCTGGGGATTCCTGCACTCTTTTGCACGCTACTTACTCTAAACCACCTCCCTTCCCCAAGGTGAATACGTACAGAGCCTTAAATTGTTTCTGGTGAATTCACATGTCTCAAATGCTATCATACCAGGAAAATACTACGTAAAGATGGTAAGGCAATGTAAAGACAGGAGTGAAAGCATACCCTACGGTTCCCTTCTGCCTGATAATTCTCCATCAGGCTTTATTCAGCCACCTGAGCTCAGAGATCCTGAAATACAAGTGAGGAGATTCAGCAGAGTCAGAACAGAGCCACTGAAAAGCCCTTAAACAGCAGTTAAGAGGTCTCTTTCAGCATATGATCTGGGTTTTCTCTGTATGGCATTTTTCTGAGGACACAGGATTCTTCCTCTTCCTAAAAATACTGCAAAATCCCTCCCTGAGGTAATGTCATTTTCTTATTTCCAGATCCAGCTTCTTTGGTCCCATGTTCCAGCCATCTTCGGTGCTTGAATGACTTGTTAACAAGTCATCTTTTTACACGTAACTTGCATCTCCTTTGTTTAAAATAGACAGGTACTATGCCAATTTGCTCAGTTTGATTGACTCTGTTCTTTCACATCTTTCCATGAATCCATCCTTCTTGTTGGTATGAATCCATCTGGTAAGAATTTCCTTTGTATCACAGACATCTCAAGCTAGACTACTTTAGACATTGCTGTTACG